ACAAAAGTGGATTCTTTCTTTTTTATTTTTCTGTGAATACATTCACATAATTCATATGAATAGTCACCACACTACAGTATCAGTGCATTCACTCAAAACTGAAAACAATGTCTAAATCAACAATAATGTCGTTATGTTCACTTTTCACTGAAATTGTTTTAGAGAGGTTTCATCTATAGTCATTTGGAGGGTTTGAATATTATTGTGTTGTACTGGGGGGGGGGGTCTCCAGTGGCAGTTCTTTCTCCTAGAAACGATGAACTCATTTGCCAACAGCAAATACATTTTGTAGGAAACATAACTGCAACTGAATTACATAGACAGCATGTTTGTTTTCTGCTAAAATATCCGATATTGCAACATCCATTTGTGGTGACGACTGCTCCAGTTAGCAAAATAAATCCGGCCCATACTTGGGCCACATGCTTGTTTTCTTCTGGCCCGGTATCCGCCCTGTTCCATGGTCCAAATCTGGCCCATATACAGCATGATCGTAAGATGCTACTTCCACATCTGGACCAATTCTGGTGCACGCACAGAAAATCATTCAGCTGTCAGTCAATACGAGAGGAAGAGCCAGACTCTGATGTGGTAGTATATGGGCCAGACTTGGGCCAAGGACCCAGGTATACATTTGGCCAAAACTTTCATTTTGCTGTCTAACTTTTTAGCGGTCATGTTTACACACTCACGAGGAAAGATTGTGGTCTAAAATGTTGCCTCTGAACATAATCCACCCAGGGATTACGTTGTCACCACAAGGTAATTGGGAAAACAGCTTAACACTTGATGAACGTAATTTCTAGGCGACAGCGTTGCTAATTACAAGGTTGGTGTGGCCACTTGAGACATACTGTGGGAACTGTTCCCTGGTGATACCTGGAGCAGTTAAATTGTAATTGAATGGCCGTGAGGTGTGTTGATGCGTAGAGCCAGTCCATGCTTTTCTCCTCTAGCAGAGTTTACCGAGGCACTGGCACAAATTTAGGCCAAAATGTGAGTCTTCTGCCACAGTGACTCTTTTAATGTTCAGCTGTGTGAAAACTCTCTACCATAAGTGCTCACAAAGTATTTTGACTAAACTAGCCTTGCTTGTTTTAATCGTTAAATTTAATTTAATATACTGTGATTTCTCTGAATTTTTATGAAAAAGAAAGCCGTTGGGGCGCCCCAGTGGCTCACCTGGTGGGGTGCATACCATGAAGGCTCAGTCCTTACAGCAGCAGCCCGGTTCGAGTCCGGCCCAAGACCCTTTGCTGTGTGTCATCCTCTTTCCTGTCTCTCTCACTGTAGCTATAATGAAAGCAAAATGCCTAAGAAAAGAAAAGAAAAGAAGAGAAAGATGAGAGAGAAAGAGAAATGTTTATGGTGAGCCAAGATAACCAGTACTGCTTGTAGAGAGACACAATATTAATTCTTTCTTGTTGTTTCTCCATGGAGGGGAAAAGAAGAGAAGGCCAGGCTTAGTTTCTCTTCACTGCATGCCGGGTCGCGAGAATTATTAATCATATTCACCATAATCACCAGGGCTTTTGTAGATTTGGAGTTTAAATTTAAATCTTGCAGTGTGATACTATGTTGAGCCAAATGGCATGGTGCAACAAGGCCTCTTTAGTTTACTGTATCGTTCCCATTTCAACAATAGTTTCTGCATTTTGTGATAATGAGACAAAATGCCTTTGTAGAAAATGTGCAGAACAAAACCACCCAACACAACAGTTGATACATTACGGGTCTGCCAAGGTGAACAGGATGTCCTGCCAGGTCTGCCACAGCAGGCGAGGCAGTGTGTACATCTCAGGAGTTTTTTTGTTCTTTATGGCTGCTGGGGCAGCAGCAGGAGGTAACATTTTGTGAAAATAAAGAATAGGATGGTGCAGGCCGTGTAATATTTTCCATGGTAGCAGGAGCGACTTGGCATCGATTCTGGTATTAATTTTCAGCAGCAACTTTTCAGCACTTTCTGATGACCAGAGACTGAAACAGGGGTTTGTGTTATTAAAGTGCCACGAGCTCTTTGATAGATGGTTCACTGCATGTGCACTGTGTGCCTCAAGACTTTTTGTTCATTTGATCATATCTGTTTTATTAAATATATCAGTCTGGCCATTAAATAATAGAGAAAGTTTGGGACTGTCAGAGATTGTTTTTTAGTACCGGCTGCACAGTTGACCAGAGGAGTCTGTAAAAGTCTGGGAGACCACAAGTACTGAGAAAAGTGTTTTCCTGAGGTTCTCCGAGCAGTGGTGAGGAGTTGCTTGAATTTTCGTCTCCTGCTAAACTTTAATACTGTAGATTAGTCTCAGCTGTGTTGTCTTATTTATAGTATACAAATAGCATTGAGTTCATATTTGAGCACAGTGAGTTCTCAGTGAAGGTCCCTGGTTGCGTGACATCAGTAGAAAAAGCTAGTTGACTCCAGGCTCAGACTGTTTCGATCTTAATACTGCCAGAGGCTTCCCATATGATGTGGCTGTGGTTGTGAGAGGGGTTATTCGGACTTGTGCATATGAATAAAAGATGGTCACTCTCATTAAAATTGCACTGAATTCGTGATCTGTGTTGTGATTTATTGTGTTTTGCATTATCATGAAGAAGAATGTGACATACCATTATTTCAAAAGCATGTTATATTATATGTTATGTTATATATATATGATTATTAATAAAAGATGCCTGTGTATTGTTTTAGCCATGTTCACAGTATGGCTCTATATGCAATCCTCACATTCAGTTAAGTTTTGAACTTCAGTGCTTTAGTCATTTATCATTTGTAATAATTAGTGCTTTATCTTTTGGACTATGTCTTTCTGTGAGGAGTCAGACTTTTTCGCTCTGTCACCCTACGGTGACAGAGCGAAAAAGTTATCAAAAGGACAAGAAATAACCACTACTCAACCATTAGAGATATTGTTATAAACTCTTGTTAGAGAGGTTCATGGTCCCCCGATGATGAATCATTCTGGCTACAGTGATCGTCTGACTCTTCCTCTGCTCCACCAGCAGTGTCGACTCCTGGCTGGACTGTCACAAAATTTGATACACACACATTCATGACCCCCTTCAGGATGAATCATAATAACCCAGGTGATCTGTTAACTTTTACTCCAGCGCCATCATCAGTTCAAAACTTCAATTTGTCCAATACTTTGGTTTATTGCTCATAGTCTATGGTGTGGCTGAACCTGTGGAGAACCCCAGACAGCTGCTAGCATGTGTATACACTCTTAATCTTTTTGTTATATTTAAACTGAATAGACAGTGACCTAAATATATATTAGCATAAGTACACAACTGATTACTGGAGCTAAGTTGCTGCAGCTTCACGGCTTGTCTGCAAGATAATTTATAATTGTATCGAGATTTCCTGACCTGTGTCAACTCTCCTCCTTTTCCTATCTGCTTCTGACTCTTACTGAAAGAAGAAAAACTGCCCGGAGGAAGGTGGCTGATGCCATTGGTAGTCTGCACAGGCTGTTAAGATTATCTTAGCAGTGAAGCAATCATTAGTGATATGATTTGATTGGAACATACTGGATTTCTCCATATCAGTTTGATAATTGTTTGCAGCATAGTAGCTGCGTCTAACAGAGCTGATTGACTCTTTGTTGATATATGTAGTTTAAACTCCAACAAGCAGACAATTTGAAGCTAGTTTTAACACCTCAGTCTTCATATGCAGCAGATAATAATGGCAAACAGTGATTAACTACCTGGTGCATTCAGATCAGGAAAGGAAGTAGCTTAGATTAGATAATGGTGTTTCTATACAGACAGAAATTTAAACAGTTTCTTGGCTGCAGTGGCCTATATTCATTTTCTATTACAGACTTAAAAAGAGACAGTTCGGAGTTGACACCATACAAAGAATATAAATCTGGTGGAAATATTCAATAAATATATTTCTGTAGAATCCCTGTTCTCAGCAACTTCTCAACAAAAACTTGAGTCATGGTCTCAACTTTCAAAAATCCATATCAGTTCTACAATAATTGTGTTACTGGCTGTCATGACTGGTAATCCACAGCAGACAGACTGGAATATGATTGCAAAGAGGAGTAAGAGAGACATAGTAGATTTGAAAGTAAAAGTACTGGCGTGAAGCGACATATAAAGCAGAGTGTAATGGAAACTTAACAAAAAGAAGAATAGCATTGAGAAACCCAAGAATGATGTGTTTTTTGAAAGCTGTCTGCCAGAAGTTTTAAATGGAGGATCGCATTCAGTTAGCGTACCTTTATTTCTCTTAAATTCCTGCACATCACACGGGCTTACATAAACCTTAATGACAAAAACGCACAGCAAGCTAAAATGTAACAGTAATAGTTTATAAATAAGCACACGTTCAGGAAAAGCAGTGAAAGACCAAGAGGAAGAAGTGAGTATGGAGAAGAAAAGGATACATTTTTGGACAATGAAACAGACAGTCATGTGTTGCAATGAACTCCAACAGGCTTTTTACTGTGCTATTCTTGCAGAATTAATACTTTAAGTATTACCATTTTATTCTAATTTATATATATAAATGTATTTGAATATATTTTACTCCATTATCAGCTGTTTATTTTACACCTGATGAAATGACTAAAGAGACTCAAACTGACAACAACAGATACATAAAACAACCAACGTACAAGGATGTTAAATTACTTCTTGCAGAGTAATGTTTCATTAACAATAATAATTCAGTATAATATGCAATACAATAATATACCAGTAATATAATACAATGAATACAAAATACAATATAAAGAAAGCAAAACTTGTGATTCTTTGATTACATTTACCTGATAAAGCTTTTATTAAGGTAAAATTTTGAATGAAGGTCTTAAACTTGTAAGAGAATATTTTCACACAATGGGATTGCTATTCTTACATAAATAAAGGATTCTTCTTCTACCGCTGACTATTACTAATCAACTTGGACAACATGGTCATGAAGCCTGTGATCAGCAGGGCAAGCAGCAGGACAATGTTAATGCGCATGCGCACTGCGGAAAAACAAGGAAGTTGACACAGATTTTCCATCAGTGTAAACATTGTAGATGTGGCAACACAGAGGAGCAGTCTACTCTGGATAACAACAATTACTGTTTTCTTTATACCTCAACTTCAGGTGAGAGAGAGAGACGAGGAGAAGAAACGAGTTGTAAATGAATGTGTTCGGGAGGGGCCACTTTACATTAGCTTGCTTTTAATAGCCTAGCGCAACTATGCTAATGCTCCAGCTAATTAGGTACAATGTTTCTTAGACTTGAATTCATGTTAGACATTCACTCAGCTGTGAGCAGCTTCAGTTTGACTTGTTTACTGGTCAAAACCTCAGTTACATACTGTCATTAATACACAGATACGACTAATTTACTGTCACCAGTAATTAGCCATAGCCTATGTAGTGATTTTAGACAACGCAGATAATTTATAGTGTGCAGCTTCATGGCGACACAATAAGATAGAGTACAGTTAAATGGACGTTAAAAAGTGTCACAGAATATACAACTTAAATAGAACTTAGAATAGTGTTATGCTAATGCATTATACATGCCATTGACTAAAGATACAGTAGAGAACTAAAACGTTCAATGTAACTGCCCTGTAAAAAAACATTTTAAGGGAATCAGGAATACTCCATCATAAATCCAGATTCCACCAAATATTTGTTTTTATTTCTCACTTTTTGTTGAATTAATTAAATTATATGTATATTAATATTATCTTCCTTCATTATAGTCTTAAAAGGCTGTCATAAATCCATCCCCACACTGCCGGGGTATAATTCTGGTGTAGAACTAGTAGATACGTGTATTCTATATTCATTGTTTTTAAACTGTTAAATTTAAAGTCTTTCAAACAACCAATACAATTTGTGTATAACTGTAAAATGTAACTTGAATAAATGAATAGAGAAATATTGAATTGCTATTGGCGCTAAACACTCTTCCTCTCCCTTAGAAACCAGTCTAGATGAATGCTAATAAATACTCCCACATTCTAAATTGCATAGTATTTTCTCAGATAATATGAGGACATCCGTTTTTTGCTGCAGTAAGTGCAGTAACTGCACAACACCTATAACCTCGAGCTTTCCTCATCACAGGAGCTCGGTGGTGAATTGATGTGACAGCTGCCAGCAAAATAACAGAATGCTGAAAGCTTCTCCAGTCTTTGTTCAAGCTGGAACAACAGTTTTTATTCAAGGGTTAGTCTCCCGTGGGGGGTGTGGCTCGAGTGCAAGGATGCACAGAGCTACAATATGCCGATATAAACAAAACTTAGGCCTTAAACAAGATCAGATCATATGTGTAGTCACACTTCTCTGAGTCCCTCTGGGGCAGATCTGTGTTGTAGTATTGTTCTTGTTTCTTTTCCTGTTTGTTTTGTTTAATAATGCTGACTGACTTGTGTGGAAGAAATACAAGACATAGTAGATAGTATGAGACACAGTAGCAATCATGGCTGAAAAAGGAATGCTAGATTACAACTATTTCTTTCAACAGAAGCATCACTTGAAATTATTCTTTCCCTGCCGTGTGTGGAAAAATACCATCTCTGTTCTAGCCAGATTTTTCAGAAAAACAAGTCTTTTAGAAAAGCAGACAGATCAGAAGTTCACCAAATCACTCAGACAGTGTGCTGCAAACATCTAATTTCACTAATAAATACTTAAAACAGAGACTGTCTGTGACCTTGCCCTAGTTTCAGCAGTGAAAATGAAAGTTTTTTCAGACTTTGGCTGAAAACATTAGTTTAGTGTTTACATGCTGAAGCAGAAGTGGCACAGTGGAAATGAAAAGAAGAGATGAGAATCTTCCGCTCATTAACCTCTCTGCCTGTTTAACATTTTTACTGGGGTCTGTTGTTAGAAGGTCTGCTGTAGCTTTTGAAAACTGATATTTGCTCAAAGTAGGGTTGTGTGACAGTATACACTCACAGAGCACTTTATTAGGAACACCATAATAATACTGGGTAGCACATCCCTTCGTTCTCAAAATAGCCTAAATTCTGCATGACATGGTTTCCACAAGATGTTGGAAAATTTTCCCTTGAGATCCTGCTCGTGTTGACATGAGTCATCACATCATTTCTGCAGATTTTTCATTCAAGGTGTGAATCTCCTGTTCTACTGGATTCAGATCTGGAGACTGGGAAGGTTGCTGAAGTTCACTGACCTCACTGTGATATTCATGAAACCAGTTTGAGATGACTTTTGCTTTGTGTTGAACATGATCAGCTACAATACTCAGACAGTCTGTGGCATTTAAACCATGACTGATTCTTTTTAAGGAGCCCAAAGTGAGTCAAGAAAACATTACCCACACCATTAGACCACCACCACCACCAGCCTGGACCGTTGACACAAATTTGGACCCTACCATTTGCCTCAGCACACATCCAGATTCATCAGACCTGGCAATGTTTTTCTTCAAGGGTCCAGTTTTGTTGAACCTGTGTCCACTGCAGCCTCAGACTTCTGTTCTTGGCTGACAGGAGAGGAACCTGACATGGTTTTCTGCTGTTGTAGTCTGTCCTTCTCAAGGTTGGACGTGTTGTGCATTCATAGATGCTTTTCTGTTTCACCACAATTGTAAAGAGTTGCTGTACCCTTTCTGTCAGCTCCAACCAGTCTGGCCATTGTCCTCTGACATTTCTCATGAGACATTTCTGTCCACAGAACTGTTGCTCACTGGATGAGTTTTGTTTTTCTCACCATTCTGATTAAAAACTCTAGAGACTGTTGTGTGTGAAAATCCCAGGAGACCTGCAGTTTCAGATATGCTCAAACTAGGAATCACTGTTTATACCCCAGTAGATATAACTTTAATATCCCTGGATGTTTTGGGCCATTTGTTATAAATAAATGAGCAGCATTGTTAAAGAGAACAGCTGAGAACTGAGGTCATAAATGATTGTGGTGATCATGGATGATTACCTCTCTGCATCTCTCTTTCCAAGCAGCTCCGATGCCATAATGAAGGCAGCCAGAACCAATATGTTGGGTGCTGCAGTGTCTAACAACAAGGTCAAGTATTCACGTCTGGCTGCTGATGAGGATGGTTACATAGACTTACAGGTAAGAGACTTGTTCTTCTTGTTTTGGTAACTCTACCAAACCGACATAGTCTCTGATGTTGTGTCATGCTGCTCTAAGGATTCTTGAGCTGCCTGGTAATTACTGAACAATTTATTGCCACAAGTTAAATCCCAATTAATGACATCCTGTTAATTTGCCAAAGCCTTTTGTGGTTAAACCAGAGGACATATGAGTGGCTGCCTGAAAAAGAACAGCTCAGATAAAGTTTTTGTTTCTGTTTATCAGCCTCATTTTGTTTTGATATAAACTGAAATCCTTCTATTTATCATAAAAATGATGTATGTTCATAATCTAGAGGCAGTCCCACAGCTAAGCTTTACTGTTTGCAATTATTAAACATAGTAATGCTAAAAGACCACAAAAAAAATGAAATGTCTTTCTCTGTTTTTTCTCCAACACTTTCCAGTTCAAGAAAAGCCCACCAAAAGTCCCATACAAGGCGATTGCACTGGCAATATTCCTGTTTCTGATTGGCTCCTTACTGATAATCTTCGGGGCCCTTCTTCTGGCAGGAACCATAAAGGTCGAGGTGAGTTTGGTTATAAAATCCGTTCAAATGGAAAACTACAGATTTTCAGAGTCAATATAGATGGACTGTGTTTTAAACGTGTCCACAGTGTATGAATTGAAATACAATCTCTTGTTCTGTTGCCAAAAAGGTTATTGTTAAACATGTCACTTTGTCCCATAATGGTTGGGTTCTGACAGTAAGTACCTCAGGCTTGTTCCCCTGAATACATGTCTCCTGAAAACCCATTTGTTACAAAAATGCCTCTGTTTGAAACATATACAGTATTTCTGTTTATGTTCTTCCGAGATGTGAAGTAGCAGAGAAGTGGTTGTTGAGTTTACGTTTTTGTCTTGTGGTCAGAGTGTGTCTCCAAACACCTCTGTTTCCTCAGCTCATCTTGATGTTAAAGGAATAGTTTGACAATTTGGAAGATAATGCTTATTTGCTTTCTTGCTGAGAGTGAGATGAGAAGAAGGAGACGACTCTCATATCTGTATGCTAAAAATGAAACTACGGCTAGCTGTCTTTTAGCTTAGCTTAGCATAAAGGCAAGAAAGAGGAGGAAACAGCTAGCCTGGCTCTGTCGAAAGGTAAAATCTGCCTCCAAGAATCTCTAAAACTCCTGTTTGTTTAACCTGTATGAAGACCACAGATACAGATAATATTGTAGAATTTTATACTTTTATACTGATTTTCTCTTGTTTTGACACCCGGCTGATACAGTACCTGAGTTTCAGCACCGACACATCATTCCATACATAGAGTTAAGGAAGTTTTTTTTCAGCAAAAAAGTATTTTCTTTTCAATATGAAATGATCAAATGTTAAATGAGCAGCCGTACAATAAATGTGCCAAAATTAAGTAGTTTAAATTTGGCAACATTTGATTTACAAAATAAGAAAACAAGACAGTGACTCTGACTGTACACACAATGCCAGCTATTGCTACTTTACAGTTTTTTGATACTCTGTGCTACAGAAACAAATTACAGTACTTTTTTTGGTACAGACTGAAATGATACCCTGCCCTGGTTTTGACATACATCTAGAGAACCAAACAAAACCTTCCAAATTTCAACTTGAGCAGTAATTAAAACACTCCCGCTGCAGCTAATCCTGTCTTTAAATAGCTGTAATTGAACAGTTATCCTGACATTTTATCGCTGTGCTGCCAGTTTCCTGCTGCACTCTTGCTTTTCCTGGCCATAATGGTTTGTTGTGTGTTTGAATATGACTAATGATTTTGATATTTTATACCTTGGAGTGCCAACTTTGGTGGCTTCCCTGCTGTGGCTTCAGCTTCTGAAATTCATGACTCCATGTGGGAGATAACAGAGCCTGCACATATTATATTTGTAATTATCAGTAGGAGGTTAATGTGAATATTTTTTTCTAGTCTTGCGGATTGTATTTGTAGAAAATTTGATCTGACATGAAGGCAGCGTCAGAGTATTTGAGCCGTCTAGTTGCCAGTTATCCCACGCAAATTTAAAATGGCATATCTAACATCACAAATTACACAAGGTTCAAGCTGTGGGTAATTGAGAAATGGGATACAGGCAGGTTTTGTTGAAAGAAGTTGTCAGAGTTTTGGGTTGAAGGAATGTGATTTAATCAGTATTTGGTTTCAGCTGGAGATAGTGTGTGTGTGTGTGTGTGTGTGTGTGTATTGCATAGCAGTGGTTCTGGTGAACTGTAGCGACTGTATGTCATGGTCTTCATCGAACACTGAAAAGGGTTAGTTAACAACCCTTCACTTCATAACCTTATAATAATGCTGATAACAATTCAATACAGTGGTATTTTATCATCAGGAATCAAAGGTCAGTTTTCCCAAAAATTTAACCACAAAGGCTGCTCACTAGCTTTTCCAGAGCTTTCATCTGCATCAGCTGGTCTTGTTGCGTCAATGTAGTTTGATCAGTTCTGAAGGAGATGGCTTACTATGGAATCTCAGTCATGTGATGACAACTGAGCCATCTCCATTACAACTGAGCAAACTCCATTGCTTGATGAAGACCATGAGATGTGGTTGAAAACTTGGGGAAAAACCCAGTAAGATAGTCATTTTGTCAAGACTTTTTTTTTCTGTCAATCCACTTTTTCTGTCAAAGTCATATTTCAGTGTCTTTTTGTAACTTTTCTTTATGTTCTTTTTGGGATTTGGTTGAATTGATCCTATAAGTACCACCTCATATATATATATATATCAATATAACATGTACATGACACAGGCAAACATAATGTTTTTAAAATAAGATGATACACATGGCCATGGCTCATGCAGCAGAGGGCTACAGTAACTCAGTGCACAACACTGCCATCTGCTGGTGAAATGAAACACATCACTTTGACGTTTGTTGAGACTGCCTGTGGCTTCTGGTGGTTCTCCGCCCTGTGTGTGAAATGACTGATGATTTACATGAAACCAGATCTCAGGCAGATGAAGTCATCACGTCTGTGTGCCTCCTGCACACCCTTTTCATTCAGAGGTTGTTTATGTGTCATGCTAGCGGGCGATGTGGAGATAAGCATGTTAAAGCTTGCTGAGTACATTAAAGAGTGTACGATGCTTCCTCCAGCATCTCATTAAAGAAGCGACATATTAGTGAGTAAACAGTGGGTCTGGCACACACCTGAAGAAATGTCTACTTGCAATCCCCCATTGTTCTTCTTTTGTTTTCAGCATCCAGACCGCACCATTCCTGTGATCATCATAGGGACGCTCGTTTTCCTCCCTGGATTTTACCATTTGAGAATTGCCTATTATGCCGCCAAGGGTTACCGGGGTTACTCCTACGATGACATCCCAGATTTTGGTGACTGAACCAAACGACAGCTGCTGATTGGTGGAGAATCCCCTCTCTTTTTTTTGCCACACTGTGTATCCTGAGACTGTTGCCTGCTGTTTACTTTGAGTTTCTGAATGTATGTAGCAAAAAAAAAAAAAAAGACACAACTGAAACATGTCATGGCGCCTTGTGTTCTAATACAGGTGCACCATACACATGATTTTACCTTGTTTGCTGGTTTTTATAATCTGTCTTATTTATTCTCAGCTCTGCGCTGCATCATCCTCCACACAAAAACAAACATGTAATGAGTCGGGGATGACACGACAGCACAGCTACATTTACTTTAGCCACTCATTCAAGAAATGATAACAAACCGTGGATGAGTGGTGAAACATTTTTAGAGTCTACACAGATGCCTTCAGCTTACTACTGCTAGAAAGTCCTTGACCTGGATGACTGAGAATCCATGTGCTTATTGCACAGTTGTACAGTTAAACAAATATTTATTTGTGACTGCAGCCTGTGTAATACCATGAAACGCTTGGGAGGCTGTATTTCTCCTGGAGGATTATATATTTACAGAACTAAACTGAAGATTGATTACTTTGTCAAAGTACAGTATATTTTTGAATGAAATGTATTACTTACTCTATGAAGTATTTGGTATTTGTTGTGCATAGTCATTTGATTTTAAAATGTCAAAAGAAGATGTATTTTTACATATATTTGCTTGATTTAAAAAAAAAAATGAAATAAAAGAAATCTGAACAAGAATGTGACGTTTGGTTTATGTTGTGATGTTGATGACATGACTGTGATGGTAGATTATGGAAATAAATTGTGGATCAAACCATTTTCTTAACAAAAACGTCATTATTAAGACTTAAGCATTACATAGAGAACGTGCGTGTGTAGTGGGAAGCACACAAACACACAAAAAAACAAAAAAATTAAATAAATGGAAACATGTTGAAAAGATGACAAATGGATATATAAATATAAGCTTGATCTAGAACTTCCTTCCTTCCCCCTTTGTAATATTTTCCTTCTGGAAAGAAAAAATGAATTTAGTAGAAAAAATGGAGTAAGGACAGCAAACACATCATCCAAATAAGTTGTATTTGTTGAAGCTGTTTTGTTCAGAGAGGGAGAAATGTAATATGTTCAAATAAACCAGAAAGTGAAGGTTTGGCTTTTTGATACATTTTCTGGAATAAACACATCTCTTAGTAAAGAAAAATACAAATACAGAAACAAGTGAAAAACAGCATTGAGACAGAAAAAGAGCAGTTCACTTGTTCACTTGAAATGGTGAATATTCTCAGAAACAACATTTTCCTCTTTTATAATAATGAATGTTTTTTTTTGTTTCACAGGTCCAGCAAGTGTAACTTTTTCTCCTGCTTTGGTCACAAACAAAAGGTAAAGGACACCCTCTTGTGGTTACCACTACGCTGGATGCCATCAGGGGATTAAAGGCTAAAAAAAAAAAACATCGCCTTTCATCCTCTGCCTGCACAAACAAACTCTTTTATTAAATATGCATTGGCTGAAACATTAAAGGGCTCACGGGACGCTGGTAGGTAACTTTAGTTTGATGCGGTTGAAATCCTTTGATCAAGACAAGGAAACAGGAGCAGCCAGAGGAGGGAGGGGAGGGGAGGGGAGGTGAGGTGAGGAGAGGGGGAGGAGGAGGAGGAGGAGGAGGGTGGAAGTTGGACTCAGGAACTCAGAGAGGAAGCAACGTCGTCTGTCACCTGTACGTGAAAGCAACACCTGTCGCCGGTGGGTTTTTGGAGAGAAAAACGCTCGTATTTCATGTAGTTTGAAACGCCACAAAGAGACAAGGCCTGTTTTTAGTTTGCCGGACACTGACCTGGTCTCCACACCGAGCCAACTGAGGCACAAGATGGACTAAAAAAAAAACCGGACCATGCGAGGGATGCGTTTTTAATAGGAAATCTACCAGCGACTGTCAGAAACTGTGCCACAGGTAGGATGAAAAAAAGAAGAAAAAAATAGTAATGAGTTTATGATTCTGGAAGTTTCTGACTTCCAGCAGCTTTGAAAAGATGAGAAATTAATGTTCAGAGCTTACACTGTGGAGTGCGAAATTTCCTTCTCAATCCCCGGAACTATGTCATGCATTTAAACGTCAGTAATGAAGTTTCTGTGGTGGTTTTTCATTATAATGTGAAATATGAAACTGACCGAAAGTTTGTGAAGCTTGAACTCAGCTAGCAGTCACTTCTCAGGACCAATTCAATCCTGTAAATGCCAGTTAGACCTGTGTTTATCATTTTCACTGAGCTTGTGAAGTTGTTTTTCTCTCTCTGGCACTCATGGATTTAATTGGTTTATGGTGGTATGACAACATGTAGAACAAACTGATGAGCTATTTGAACCCTACAGCTGTGGTAAAACAGGGATAAGATGCTGTATGTCCAGAAACCTGGAAACCTTTCTTTTAGGAGCTGTCAGAAATACTGCTTTTAGAGATTTTAGAAATCCAGGATTACAAACCAGACTTTCATGTATTTTCATTAAAATCATTTCAAATTTACACATACATACATTTACATACATTTAAAGTCATAAAACTATTCTTTGAAATAATTTTTCATTCAGATTAATGGAGCTATTTTTAATAGTTTGTGGTTCAAAGATGAAGTCTGGTGAAGTCTTGCATTACTTATCCTATTCAGTACATTCCATGAGGAAATAGGAAATATTTATGATATGAATACATAAACTTACATTACAATTGTGCAATATGTAGAGCCCAGAATTAGAAATCTTTCAGTACTGTTGGAGGCCAGAGTCGATATGTAATTCACCGATTATGGGAGAAATATTCTCATAACTTCCTCCTGACAAGGTTCATTGACTGATTTCAAATTCTATTTTTGGTTTGACTGAGTCTGCTCTGGTGCCAGATGGGCGTAGTTCCCACAATATAATGTTTTCTATAAAGTTTTACATCATCAGAGGGAGCTGAGTGGAAATTAATTTAGTGTTTTTTTTTTTTTTTTTGAAGGACAAGGATTTGCCTGACATCACCTGCATTATAAAGATGCACTTCACATCTGCTACTTAAAGCAGTCTGAAGTAGATGCAAATTATCACCTACAAACCCTATTAAGCCCACACAGAGTTTTTGCATGCTTTATCCCAGTGCATTGCTCATGGGTCTTTAAAAAAAAAAAAAAAGCCTGCTGAAGAGTTTGGATTAAGAATATAGTTTGTGAGAGGAGATTCTGCACTGTATCACCACTCGACAATAATTTAACTTTGACAAAAATTAAGGGAGACTTGAAGGTCTCTGTGATGAATTATACATGTACAGAAAGTCTCAGTTACACTCTAATGACATGAACAACTGCCACAACTGTCCTTGAAAACTTGGCTTCAAATCTCAAGTGTCTCTCTGTAACATGTAGTCATGACCAAGTGAACAAAAAAAACATTTTAAAGTATTATTTATTAAGAGTTTAACACGCAAACACCCATTAATCCAACTGTTGTCAGATTCAGAGTCAAATGTTGCTAAATTCTGATTGGTGCACAGAAATGTGTGACATCACCTTTTTCAAACGTAGCTCCACCCACTTCAAACTGCAAGAAGAGCGTAAAAAAAGAATGACAGGAAAACTGAAATCTCCAATGTGAAATGACCAAAACATTCCTAACTTTGGCAGATAACTGAGTTCATGTGGTATCCTGTCACTCATAGCAAGTAGCTTATTGGGCAAAATAGGTTTTCAGAGCCTTTAAGCTAAAGCATTAAAATACTACTTTATGCTATAGCTTTGCATCCAAATATTAACCCACAGTTGGTTGTGCACTGTCAAGATTGTCTCCTCACTTAGACTTGAGTCATGGATCTGATTTGATAAAATCAACATTGGACTTTTGAGTTGGAATGACTTGACATCCCTCCCGAGCCCAAACAGCCATGTGTAAGCCATGGAAAAATAAAATGTATACATATACTACAAGTGGCATACAGAATAACATAAGCACTCTTTTGGAGCAGAACCTAAGCTCTGAAATAACTTAATCACAATGGCAATTACTGCTGCAGAGGTGGGTTAGAGAGCAGGTTAAATGCCAATCAGCAGCATTTTTCAGCTGTGAGAGGCAACTGGCAATCAGCACTCCGATGTTAGATTTCAAAGCATGTCAGCTAACAGGGCTCTGAAGAGCTGGTGTGTAAATGAACTACAGAGAAATGTTGACTGTGTCACAAAAAGTAGTCTCAAAATTCTGAATGAAACCATTTGGTAAAGAGGAATGGAAGATGAAATCATCAGGATATGGTTCACATATAAATAAGAGATTAGAAGTGGAAGTATACTTGAGGAGCAGTATCGTGTCAATTTTCAAGTCTATCAGGTCTCTGAGTACTGACTGTTAAAATTACCTTGCATTTAAATTTTTTCCTTTCGAAGCTGTGCTGATAGTATATTTTCTTTATGCAGCTGCATGCTTCATGCAGAGACCAAGCTCTTTCAATGCAAAGCCCTAATATTTAAATATTCAAGCTGTCTGACTGTAAAAGGCTTGTATCTCGCTGTCGTGCCTATGCTTTATTTTTCTGAGATTTTAAACGGATTGAACCCTGAGACCTCTGACTTGAGGTTCTTGATTTCAAGTCAGGAGTCCAGTGTTTAGGGATTAGTAAATCAAGCTTCACAGCGGTCAGGTCCAAGTGTCAGGTCCCCATATTTACCCATGCTACCCAGATAGCAAAACAAATCTTGTTTTCCTCTGGCCCAGAATACGCCCGGTTCCACAGCCCGAATCTGGCCCATACACAGCATGATTGTAAGATGCTACTTCCGCATCTGGATCGATTCTGGCACACACACACACACACACACACACACACACACACACACACACACACACACACACACACACAGAAAATCATCCGGCTGTCAGTCAATAATGGAGGATGACAGCAGGACCTTGCCCAGATGTGGACGTAGTGTGTGTTTAGTGCTAATTATGTCAGCATGCTAACAAAGATGGGGAATATGGTAAACATTATAAAACATCAGCATGTTAGCATTGTCATCATGAGCATGTTAGCATGCTGATGTTAGCAGCAGGATTTAGCTTTCAGCTCAAAACACTGCTGAGCACAGTCTCAGA